GCCCGAACCCCGCGGAGCCCACGGGGACCCTCGCCCCGCTCGCCGCGCCCCCGCTCCCCGGCCCGCCCGGCCACATGGCGCCGGGAGGGCGGGGTGAAGCCGAGCGGGCCGCGGCCACGCGTCAGGGCTGCTCGGGTGGCCGCCATCCCCATCCCGCTCCTCACGCGTGTCCCCCCCTCCTCCTCCTCCCCGCTCCCTCCCCTCACGCACCTTCCCGAGGGGCTGCCGCGCCTCCAGCGGGGCCCAGGCCAGGCAGGTACAGGCGGCGCTGAGGTGGGCGGAGGGCACGAACTCGTGCTGCAGGCGGCTGCCGGCCGTGTCCCACACCCGCAGCCTCCCGTCGGGCCCGGCCGAGGCGAACAAGCGGCACCCGCGGGGGGAGAAGGCGCACGGAGCCGCCGCCATGGCGCGCGCGCCCCTCGGCTCTGCCCGGCCCGCCCCGCGCGGCGCATGCACCGCCCGCGTGCTCGCCCCGCGCGCCTGCGCCGCACGCCCCGATGACGCCGCATGGCGTCATCGGGGCGTGCGGCGCAGGCGCGCGGGGCGAGAGCGGCGGAGGCGGAGCCGCTCCCCCGCTTCCCGCCGGCGGCCGCTCCATGAGGGCTTGGCGGGCGCTGCGGCGGACTGCCGCCTCCTCCTCTTCTTCCTCCTCTTCCTCCTCCTCTCCTCCCGACGCGAAGCCTCGCAGGCGGGCATGGGAGGCTTCGCTGTCGCCGCTGGAGCGGGTGAGGCGGCTGCTGCCGCCCGAGGAAGCGGCGGCGGTGGCGGCGGCGGCGCTGCCGCCGCCGCCTCAGGCTCCCCGCGAGGAAGAGGAGGAGGTGGGCGCCCTGGTTGAGGCGGCGGGTCGGCGTTCCGGGCCTTTCCGCGCCGGGGAGCTGGCGCTGGCGGAGATGCGGAGGAAGCACAACACGACGCTGAAGCTGCTGTGCCGGCTGGCGGCGGAGGCGGTGCTGAACAGCTCCGGAGGTGTCCTGCCCCACCGCGACATCATCGGGCAGCTGCCCGGGCAGGTGCTGCGCACGTCGGAAGGGAAGCGGCTGCTGCTGAGGAGGCCCTCGCTGGACGAGTACGTGCTGCTCATGCCGCGGGGACCCACCATCGCCTACCCCAAGGTACCGGCTGGTGGCTGGGAGGTCGCTGGCCGAATCTCTCATTTCTCGCGAATAGTAACGTGCCGTGTTTTTCTTGCTCGCAGGATATAAGCGCTCTGTTAATGATGATGGATATCCACCCGGGAGACACCGTGTTGGAAACTGGCAGTGGGTCTGGTGCTATGAGCTTGTTTCTGTCGAGAGCAGGTGAGAACTTGGCTCTCGATAATTCCTTACCACAACTTGTTTGTTTGGTTGGGTTTTTTTGCCCAGACTTTTACTTTGGTTATGGTTTTACCCGTAAATTTTATTTATGGTTCACGTGGTACTTATTATTCAGCTCATGAAAGCTTTGCTGCAGTTCACATATAGTTTGACTTGAAGGAAAGTTAAACCAGTTCATTCTGGCTGTGCTTAGAGGGTCGTGATGTAACTGGTTACAGAAAGCCTTGCAGAAAGCTGAGTTTCAGCCATGCCTCAAGATCACTGAACTACAGCTGGTCTTGATACGTTGGCCCAAACTTCAAGGTCAGCAGATGCACCTCTGCTCCCTCTCTCTTCTGCCTCCTACTCCTATTGCCTGGTTTCCTCTGATCATCTTTCTGGAATAAACTAGTGTTTGGGTTTTTTTAGTTCCGTTGGGATTTTGAAATTAGGATGGGATTATCCTCAAAGCAAACACTGCTGCTGTAGGAGCTAGAAGCTGATGAAACAGAAGATAAACAAGATAAACATCAGAGCTTATTTTTCCGTTTAGAGAGAGGGAAAGTAGAAGTCCTTAGCTTTCCCTACCTTTCCCTACGGGCAGACCCAGAACTCAAAGAGATGGAATACCTGCTGCTGGCTAAGACAGAAACTAGCTCTTGCTAAAAACAGCAATTGCTTTTTCCGCCTTCGGTATTTCATACAAGCACACCGAACTTGCCAATTATTCCTCTCATTTTTCAATCTTGTTAAACAGGTTTTTTTCTAGTCATTTTAATTTAGCTGTAAATGGGCCAAGCTGGCAAAATCATTGGCATTACCAGGCTGTTAACCCTATCCAGGAAAAGAGTGCAGTTGTGTGCCAGATAAGCTCTATTTTGAGGAGTGGGAAAAATGTATGAAATTGCATTGCTATTTTCAAATTTATTGAATTTCAGTTGGCACCAAATACAACCAATTTTAATCATAGCTGAACACACTTCAGTGCTGACACAGAAATAATTAGATTTGATTTGCTTTGCTCTGTCTTAATGGTGGCTGTTTTTGCCACCATTAAATACACACCAGTGATAGCCAACAAGGAAAACAGCTGCTGTGTTGGTAAATGCTGGAATTCAGATCTAGTGCCCACCTTACCAATGTCCTTGGAATTATTTAATTTCCAAAGTTCTTGTTGATTTAATAGATTTAATTCATCTCTTAATTGCTATTCCCTTTGTATTTTCTTTTCCATTCTTTCTTAAATCATTCACAAAAGCTACTGACATGAAACAGGATGAAGTTAGGAGAGTGGTATTTGCCATGACTTTAAGATCTCTGAGAACTGGAAAATATGATGTATGCAAATTGACATACTGTAGCTTCATAGTAATGAAGTTTTGCCTAAGTTATTTCACCTTGTTCTTATTAAAAAAAAAAAAAAAAAAAAAAAGGCAGTTTCCAAAAATAGGAATGACTTTGAATGAGTGGAGGTAAAAGTGACCCTTTGATTTTTCTGATGTTTGTAAACTGATAATCTAAAGTAACAAGGAGTTGGGACTGTGACTCTACAACTTCTCCAGGTGATCAAAGGCAACGTGCTCAAACCTTCCCTTTCTTATAAGCTGGTTCTGGCATTTGTCTGATGCAGGGTGAGCTGGATCAAGGAGCACCTGTCAGGGAATCCATCCCTTTTACCGAGTTACCAGAATGGATTCACAGTGGGTTCACATAGGTGAGGGAAGGAGCCTGGTGACTTCAAACTGAAATGGTTCAGGAAGGCACAGAACTGACCTGAGGAGGTGCTCCTTCCTGAAAGCAGCCTGCACCCATTCCATAGTAGCAAGGAGACAGAAGTGAGTGGTGGGATAGGCCTGAGGAATTGGAGTAATGCAAATATAGAATAATACAGCAGTGCACACCTGCTGTCTGTCTGCCTGCACAGCCTGGTAATGCTTCCTTTATGAGAAACAGTGTACATTGGACTCATGGTAAATTTCAGAATAGTAAATTTAGATTTAATAATTAATTGCTGTTGCAGACAGTAACAGAAAAATTGCACAAACCTGGGTAGATCAAAGAGTACACTGGAAAACTTTTCTGTGGGGCTAAGATTGGTGAGCAGGTTTCCTTAGCCTGTGAGCACTGGTGCAGCATTCCCAGCTGGTACCTGTGGTTGCTCTAGCAGAAGGATCTGGCATGGGCCACAGATGCTCTACTTGTCTTTTGCTGCAGGAATGACTTAGTAGAACATCTGGAGCAGTCTGTACTACTATAACTACACTTTGTTTCACCTGTGCATTGATGGATTTCTGTCTGTGAAAGAACTAACATGGCACTTTTTCTGCAACTTTTGTTTTAAATGTAAAGAAAACAAAGATTGTGATTGTTTCACATGTAATAATTTCCTAAAGTGGAGATGGAAAGGTGTACTTATGTTACAGACTGTGGTTTTTTTATTTTGTTTTGTTTTTTTTTTCCCCAAGTCTTTATAACAGCAGTATAAAGTGGTGAATGGAGTGTCTTCTCTTTGTTTTCAGTTGGGCCCAAAGGACGTGTTCTAAGTTACGAAATCAGAGAGGACCATCATCATTTAGCTAAGAAGAATTACAGGCACTGGCGTTCTGCATGGGAAAAAGGACACGTGGATAAGTGGCCAGATAACGTGGAGTTCATTCTTAAAGACATTTCAACAGCTGCTGCAGATATGAAATCTGTAACCCTTGATGCAGTGAGTGAATCCAAACAACTCCCCCATTTGACACGTGTCTTTTCTCCATTAATGAAAACCTCTAGTGCTCACACTCACAATGGGACTCCCGTACCTAGTGTAACATGAAAAATAACAATCCAGGTCCTTATCAGTGAAAGAAACGTCGTAAATTTTTTGTCAGATACAAATGCTTTCAAGGTTTCAGTTACAGGTTGTCAAATGAAAGAGTGATAAAGCTGTACTGTAGAAATATTACAATTGCTATCTTAAAAGTAAAGACCAACTCGCTTTCTTTTATTTTTGAGAAATTGATATTTTTATGAGATAAATATTTCAAGCATTGAATTTCAGTAAAATACATAACTTTATTAAATATGTAACTATGTGACCACTTTGCCATCAGCTGTATAGAATGCACAATGTAACTAAAGCATAATTCAGAGAATGCTATGGCTTGCTCTCCTGTCCTACTTCTTTGTATCCAGATTTCCTAAAAGGAGTAATGCTGGAGAAAACAGCTTGATGTTACTCTTCCCTGTAAAGCTGAGAAACTACTTACAACTACTTATTTACTAAATGCTTTAAACAAATATCAATTTTTTAAATGGTGCAAGCAAAGAAATATAATACATAGCATAAAAATACCTCTTCAAAAAATGTTTCAAGTAACAGTCCTGCAGGAAGGATCAGATATTGCATATCCCATTGTTCTACAATCTGAATAGCTTCCTAGCAGAAGATGGATAAATTGCCAAAGACAATAAGTATTTTTAATCTTGAAACTGACAGCAAGTTAGACACTGTGACCATGTGTTCTTTTTATGTCTTTGAACAATTTTTTTTTCTCACATTTGAGAAATAGGTATTCAAATGTGTTAGTAAATGTAGTCTTCTAAAAGTTTTTATTACTGTCAGGATTATGGGATTTAATTACTAGGAGGCTTAACTTCCTACAGACCTACTTAGTTGGTCAAACGCTACATGCTCTTTAATAGAAATTCATTTGGAAGTAGAGAGGACTTTGTTTTGTGTAAGAGTGCACCTCAGGTTTTGAGAGGCAGTAATGAAACTGGTTGATGATTACATACTGCTGTTGTATGCATCTCTTTTCCATAACCTTTCTTTCTCCCCAGCATTGTTGTATGTTACATTGGTAGATGTACATATGTTCTCCCAGTAAATATTAATATGTATTTCTCTTGCAGGTAGTTCTGGATATGCTGAACCCTCAGTGTGCTCTGCCTGTTGTACACCCAAGCCTGAAACAAGGTGGGGTGTGTGCTGTGTACTTAGCAAAGTAAGTATTTCTTTTTGGTACCTTTATTCAGGCATTACCTGGCCTCAGTACAAAACCAAGCACCTTCTGAAATACACATCCAGCATTAATGAAATGGTTAACAAAGTTGGGTTTTTTCCCATGTAGCTTTCTTTGGGAGTTGTACTCAGTATAAATTACCCTTGGCCAAATCCTTTGGTATCTGCCTGGGAAATGTTCTCCTTCCGGTCAGTGAAGTTTGGCCATTATGGCATCCTCAAAGTAACTGCACTGTTCTCCAGTGCAATAGTCAGGTTGCTCCTTTACCCTAAAACTGAAGGACTTGTGTAACCTCAAAGGTAAAGAATGTGCCAAAGTCAGTAGAACTGAAATTTTGTGATTTGGGTTTTCAAAATACTACTTTATCCTTTGTATTTCTTCAAAAGCATCACACAGGTTATTGAGCTTTTAGACAGAATACGGAGCTTCAAGCTTCCTTTTTTGTGTGAAAGGATAATTGAGGTAACTCACAGGAGATGGTCAGTACTCCCTGCTAAACTCAAGCATTACAAATCAAGTCAAATGGTGGAAACTCAAGAAAATATTGAAGAACTACTTCAAAATGAAAATGAAGAAGTCCATATTCAGCATCAAGCAGTTCTTAAGGAGAGCGAATACAATGGTAAGGACTTTACTGCTGATGAGATCCCCTATAACTGCACTTTGATAATCCACTGTAGGAAGAGGCAGCATTTTTACCTAAGTCAGCTGAGAATAGGCAAGGTTTTGGACAGCTTGGACCTTGTCAGGTTTAAAGAAGACTATTAATTCTTATTTAAGTTAAAATATCCTACTAAAAACCTGGGCTAAATAAAAAATAAACGTCAGTCTGCAATAAAGAATTACTGCTCTTTTACTACTGTTTTCAAATTTTTGAGTTTTAAGAAAATTCAGTTCTTTATATTCAGCCCAAAGCTGCTTTAGAAGACCCTGATGGACTTAAAGATTTCTTAGGAGAAATGGTAGCCAGTGAGCTCTGTTTTAAAATAACGGTGTTCTGGCAAATCCAAAAATGCTGCCATATATATATTATATTTATATGGCAAATGTAAATATATATAGAGTACAGATCTGCAAAATGCAAAGAGTTCTGAATATACTGATAGGTGACAACAAAAAAACCAAAACATGTCAGGGAAAAATATTACATGTACATTGTCTACTCTAGTCTGCATGTAGGTCTTAAATGTGTGGGAACAAAATAAAATAAAAATGTCCTTCTCACAGAATCACTCAGAGATGCTGCTGAAACAAACCACTCAGTGCCTTACATTGCCCGACCATCCCACTGGCAGGAAGCTCATTCAGGTGAGACGCTTGGAAAAAGATTATCTTAAGTGTTTAGTGGTATTTTTATTTCAAATTTTTTTTTTTTTTTGTAGTAGCATTTGGTATTTTCCTATCTGATGAAACCATAAAACTGACAATAATAAAAAAATTATTGCATATTGAAATACTAAAGTGGTAACTTTTGTTTTTTAATTAGCGTTCCTTACCCAGCTGAGAAAGTTTCGGCCACTGCTTTCTTGATGCTGCTGCCTCCTTAGCTGCTAATTTGAATATTGTATCAGAATGAAATAAAACATTACAAATTAGATGCTACATTTTGCATGTTGTGTAACTTTTACCAATGACTGCTCTGATTTCTACCTCACATCAGTTTGAAACACCGTTATCCTGCTATGTAAAGAGAAACATTTGAAGGGAATCCTCACGTCTGGTGGTGTGATGCAGTCCAGATTGTTCTGCAAATCATAGTATCTGTTTCTGCCTTATGAGGTGCATTTCATTCTCCATTGCTTGTAAACCAGTCCATAGACGTATCTTGATCCAGGGTGCTACATAGTTGCCTTTTGCTGGACAGCCTCTGACAGTCTACTAGAAATAAGGAGAAAAAAATTCAGTAAGAAAATAAGGGATCAAAGGCTCTCCTTTGAAATTAATACTTTCCTGGCTTCCAACTGGTGCCTATAGGTTTCTTTAATAGCAAAGTTCTTAAAGCATGACTTTAAGAGATACTGAAATTCACTGAATGTGTTCAGTTGATAAAGCTGTGCTTATTTCAACATCAAAACAGTTGTTGACAGGCACAGCTTTGGTTCCCTTCTAGCACTCACGCTGCAAGTTGGCTGGTTATTTGTGAACGTCACTTCATATAACGTATTCTCAAATGGTTGGAGGAAACAGTTTTTTCTGGCCCTTGTCAGGGATGAGAAGCAGATCTCTCAAATAAAAACAGACTTAAAGTCATTTTAGGTCTCCCCTGAGTAAGTGGTGATGTTTAACACATTAAATTATTAAGTTATGTTTTGTAAATGACTTGCTTTATATCTCAGGAAATACTTAAATGCCAAATTTTTCAAAGTCGAGAATCACACTTGTAGTAAAGCTGACAAAAACAGTAACAATAGTACTGTAATAGTGGAAGTTTGGATATAAGTGAGAACATGCAAATAAAACATACAGAGCTATAAATAACTACCTTTGTATCAGATAAGTATACTAGGAACTGGTTCATTCATTGGTTAGCTACAGGAGAGTGTCTTTGCAGAGCTGAGGCCTTATCCAGATGCCTGAAGAAGTTTACATCTCAAGTGCATTTAGCTTCTAATATAAAAAATTTAATAATGAGGTGTCCCCACAGCTGCTCTATGTAATAGAGGCCCCTAATGCAATGGCTGAGGGTGCTATTGTGAGTAGAGTAATGGGCAGAGATTCAATTACATAAACAATTCTTGCAATAAGCTCTTGTTTTCTACTCATACCCCAGGATTAAAACAGTGCTGTATAAATTTTCAACAAATTAGATACTTAGAGGAAAATGGGAATTGTGATTTAACCTATGTCCAAACCCATGCCACAGCTGAGCATCCTGCCCTTTTTCAAAACATGCTCTGCAAGAGCACTTTAACTCCTTTTACACACCAGTATTTTTATTGTTCCAGCCAATCATAAGCATTTAAAACAGGACTCTCCATTTCATTTATAATGCAAGAATAGTAACAAATGCCTGAGTAGACTGGAATACACCAAAAATCTACCATAGTAGATGAAAGTAACATGAAGAGACTCAATGTAAAGCAATTGGTACTTCCAGGAAGTCAAGATACAATATGTGAAAATGAATCCATAAGGGTAAAAGCAAAGTTCTGCCAAGGTGTAAGAGGAAGGGACAGAGCAGTCCCTGCAGCACTCTGAAGGGCAAATGTGGCCCCAGTTGCCTAAACCAATGAAAAATTATTCACAATATTAAACCATACCTTGGGCTTTATAAGAAGGAGAGTCGATAAGCATTTTTTTAGTTGAAAGGGTGTCCTGTGAATTCTGGGATAAGTGTAAGTCCATCATCTCCAAAGTGTCAGTAGATGAGGAGGAAGATGATAATCCAAGTCGTACGAATCTGCCTTTCTTCCCGCAGAGCAGGCACTCTGTAGGAGTAGCACTGGGTCCTCGGGGCAGCTGCACTTGATCATTATAACTCCTCAGAGCTCCGCTGTGCTGCACAGAGCGCTCTCGCTGCCAGATGTAATGTGTTGGAGCAATAGCCATCACCTGTGGGAACAGCCATGGCATAAGGAAGAGCAGAAATAACGGGGAAACACACAGCAGAAAACAAGATCCACTTAGTGTATGGAAGGGAATTAACACAGCTGAAATGGGCATCGCCTCTTATCTGTCTCACTGACCACTGGAAAGTTTGCTCCTTTAGGCAGGAATAAATAATCCTGATACCAGTCAGGTGTGGAAACATCCCAGCTTCCAGCCCTGTATGTTCACATGAGTCACCACAAAGAGCAGCTCATGCTCGGGATGTTGGACACAAGAGGGTCTCTTTGGCCAGCTACCAAACACCAGCTGACAGTGTTCATCATCACTGAAATAATGACAGTGGGAAGCTGGGAGGATATGCATAGAAAAGCATCCTGCACTCGCATTGTTCCCTCTGCTTTTTCCCATAGTATCTAATCCCATCCCCAGAAATGGCCTCTAGAGTAAATGACATTTGCTTTTCCACCATCTGAAAGTAAACATTATGTACTTGGAACATGACAAGGGCTTTTCCAGATACACACTTCACCTGAAAAGTGAGGAATATATTTTTTCCTTGTGAATTGTAAAGCACACTAAATTATTGCTAAAGTGGATGCAGTGAAACAAATTAAGGAAGATTTTAAATTAAAAATATTTGCATGAAGCAGATTCTAGCCAATAGAAACTTTACTTTTAACAGCAGTGCAATATAAAATATTCTACTTTACTTAAAAAACAGTGTTTCAAACAATATATTTTAAATAGAGTATAAATGGACCATTACATTTTAGCAGCATCTTCTCTTTCCCATGGATTGTGTGTTTACTTTAGGGAAGAAACTGTACAGAGCTACATTTCTAGCTGGTGTTACTTATTGTGACTTCAACATCTACAATATGAAATCTCCCTCCCTACCTCTTCACAGCAGCGTCTGCTTACAATAGCCCTGTAGTCAATTCTACTCCAAAGTTGATCTCTTAACTTTAAGAAATCAGGGAAGAGCTTTCTCCAGGCTTTGCCCAAAGCCCATGGGAAAATGTCATACTTTGCTTCTTCATTGTCTTCTTCAACTGTGTTTGCCAGATACCTTCAAATATATATATGTTTATGTTTGTAAATATTCAATCTTATACCACTATATTAGAATGACTTCTAAAATAACAGACATATTGCAGTGGTTCTTTTTTTCTAGTATTATGAGGAAAAAACACTAACAAAATACAGCCTTCTCTCTGGAATACAATATTTTCTTAATTAGTTGCATGTGCATCCTTTGGGTAAAAAACCCAAGCTTTTATAAAAACTGTTTTACCCTAGAATTTCCTAAATTAATAGATAAGCAAGAACTAACACATCCTGACATCCTTCTCCAAGCTGGCAAGAAACCCTTGAATAAAATAAACAGTTTCTGATTGATTCTTTAAATAAGGCTTAAAACTATCATGTGAAATCTTAAACTTTTCATTTTTTACTTTATGGATTTTAGCTATTCTTGGAAAATTACATTGCTCATATTAAATTAGGAGCAAACAACTAAATACAGGTCTACCTTTAGTTATAAATTAAAAACTTAAATAATTTTTTTAATGTCTCCGTTCTTCCCTTCGTTCACTATCTAGTTACTTTTAGTTTTGTTTTCTCAGACAACAGGAAAATGTTTATTTCCTCTGGATCCATCTGGTACTAAGCTCCTGTAAATCACACTTGGAAAAAATTAGGATGTTTTGTTTCCTCCCCAGTTTTCTCACTTGCTCCTGACCCCAGTATTCTCTCTAGTTCCAGTCCCACCAGACTCTGTCCCCTTCTAATCCTTTCACTGTTCTGGCCTGGATTTTCCCCCTTCAGTGGGGTCAGAGGGCTCCCTCCTCCATGCTCTGTGGATGTCACCCACAGTACTAATGACAGTGGAAAGAACAGCCACCTTTGCACTAGTGTGCAAATCAGAGCATCTGAGAAGTGATGTTATGGGAAAAGACGACTTGAGCACCATAACACTGTAAAAAAAAAAAAAAAAAAAAGGCAGAACCCTCTACAGGTATAACCAAATACAGAGGGTTATGTAGGCCTGACAAAGATGGATTACTGGTTCCACCACTGTTTCAAAGTATAGGCATTTTACAACTGTTCAAAAAAGTTCTCAGAAATTCTCTAGCAATGCTCTTACAGTTGATTTAAATCACATTGACAGAAACTTTAATAGCAAGATACTCCTGAGATGCCCATCATGGTGAAATGTTTTGATACAAATGCCTTAAAGGCTGGCAAAGATATGAAATAAGGTTTATACAAGCACGTGTGAGCCACATACATGTTGCTGTGTATTGTCCTGCATGCATTTCTTGTAATGCTTTAAAAAGCTCCCAGATTCAGTTTCGTAGGCAGAATGCCACTGTGTGTATCACTACACCAATGCAAGCAACCTCTGGCTGCTGCACAAGCTTGTTCCATCACAGGAAGAATGGTGACTTTTCACTATTTATGTACAGTATGAGGATTATCATAGGACCACAGAATGGTTTGGGTTGGAAGGGACTTTAAAGACCACCTAGTTCCAGCCCCCCTGCCATCCCCTAGGATGCCACCCACTAGATCAGGTTGTTTATATACTGCCCCCAGGAAGTCTCATCATATAACTGTCAGTGTCATAAAAGAAATAATGCAAAGTTTATCCTAATAAAACCAGATAATTTTAAAGTACTTACAGAGCCACAAAGAAATTGATTCTGGTATGCTCACTTGTTGTGAAGTTAGCTCTCTTGAAATAAACGAAAGTCATTGCCAAGAGATACTGTTTTAAAATGTAAAATGAAGTATCAATGTGTTACTTAGATATAGTAGTTCCTAAACTGATTGACACATCTTGCACCAAGATATATTAATCATTTTTAACAATGAGGAAAGCATGAATTAAGCTTCTTGAAACTTCCATGTGAAACCATTAGAAAAAGAATATGTTCTGTATTTGCATTAAAATATCAAGTAATTAAAGACAGATTTCTCACTCAGTGTATGTTCTGTTAACTAAGAAGGAAATACCTTGTCTGCAATTTCACAGCAACAGTCCATCCAAAGGAAGTCTTGGATTAGATCATCATCTGTAACAAGAGAAAGCTGTAGCATTTCAAACACTAAAACTGTTTATGTCAGAAGGTATTTATAAATAAAGAACAGATGGTCTTTCATTAAACCAAAAGAAAGAAAATAAGCTAGACTGGCCAGTAGGGAACAAAGAAACTGAGGGCAGTAGGAGAGGTTCAGGTGTGAAAAAAAGCTTACATGACAAAAGAAAACAAACTCTACCAGAAAGGCAAGGTGAAAAATCTGGTGACTCCATTTCATCCACTCTCAGTAACAGCAGGTGAAAGTGAAAAATAACCTGTATTTTTTTCTATTTGCATAATTTCTTCCTGCATTGCATGCACACCATTATTTCAGAGGAACTACAGACTGCTGCGATCCTGCACCCTGATTACCTGGAAGCCTTTATAGGGCAATACTTGCTTATTTTTGGTCATTGCTTCACTGTCCATGATCATGTACTGTAATTACTACAAACTCTCATTCACTGCTGTATTTAAGGGTCAAATGAAAACCAGCTGTAATCTTCCACTATTACTTAATGTCTTTGCTAAATTAAATAAACACAAAACTTTGTATGAAAGAGACAGAAATAAAGAAGAGATGCTCCAACTCCTTAGATCAACTTCCCATCCCACTTCTTCCCCCAGAAGTTTATTCCCACAGTACAGAACATGTTTAAGAGATGAGTCCCTTTTTTTAAAGCTTGTGTAAAACAAGATACACATTGTTTTACATGTATTTGTTGAAATATAAGAGGAAAATATTAAGGAAAATTATCATAAAATAAAAAGTAGCAAAACACCTGGGTTTCATTTGTAATTTTAAAAAGATAATTTTCATCAGTTAGGTAGCCCTTTTATTTTCAACTTAAGCATTAAATATTTATATATCAAAATATACCAACAAAACGTTTTGATAAAGAATCGCCATTAGTTTCAATATATAAAGCACTCTCAACATTCCTGACCTTAGAAAACATTCTGATCAGTCAACTCATTCATATCTCACATTATTAACCTACCAAATAATTTAAAGAAAGCTGTCATTTCCTGACGCTGAATAACTAGACATGGTCCCTTTGGACGTTTATATTTCTGACTAGGAACCCCTTTTTCACAATTTTCTTGATGGTCTTTGAAAGCGGGTCGCTTTAGTCTAGTAAGTTTTTTTTGCTGATATGATCTGGATGCACTCGATTTTACATGAACAGTGACAGTGGGAGGTGTCTGACACACTAGATTGTGTTTCATTTCGTTAAGCCAAGGTTCCTGTTGAAAGAATAAGAAGAAATTAACTACAAAATGAGTCAGTTTCAGCACTAGTACATTTCTTTTGTTCACATGAGATGTTTCAGTAGAACTTGTATGTCAGATGATGGAAAATGAATTTATCAGTACTGATTATCTAAGTCTTGTGCCCTAAGACAGCCACATAGAGTTCTTTGATTTGGTTCTAATTTTATAAATCTTTCCACAGTAGGAGCCTTCAATTTTACATTTTTCAGTCAACTTTGAAATATGGGAAAACAGCCTTTCCAGGAAAAGCTGCTGTTTGTCAGATCCTTGTACGTTGACACACTTAGATCTACCAAAAAACATGCATTCTTCCCCTCCAATTTGTGCTTGTGTCTTTTTTTTTTTTTTTTTTAAGGAATATTAATAGAACTAAGCAGCAGAGCTGTGATTGAGCCACGTAACATTAAAATCAAGTCTTGAGCTCCTAATTGCTATTGGGAATTAATCTTGTCTCTCAGGTTGGACATACCCAGAAGGCACGACCAAGGAAACACCTGTGGTGTTCGTCGCCGCAAAAATTTAAGGGGACACCAAACGGAGAGTGGGGAAGGGAGGAAGGGTGTTTTTGGTGGGTTTAAATGTATTTACGCCTTCAGGAGGTCTCCCGGCAGGGGGCTGTCGGAGGCTGGCTCACCGCAGCCGACCTGGCTCCCCAGCGCACGAACGCCAGAGGGCCGTGAGGGGAGGCTGCGTTCCGCCTCCAGCGCCGGAGCCCGGAGCCCAAACCCGCCCTCCCCGCCTCCCCGCCTCCCCGCCTCCCGCAGCCGCCTCCCCTCACGCCTCCGCACCGCGAGTGGCGCCTCTCGCAGCCAATCAGCGTGCGCGGCTCGCCGCCCCAGCCAATCGAGCGGCGGGACGCTCTCTCCTCCCGCCCCTCCTGTTGGCGCCCGGGACGCGGCAGCCAATGGGAGCGGGGCACAGCGGGGGCGCCTCTCGCTCGCCTCGCCGCCAGGGGCCGCGTCCGGGCTGCCCAGCGGCGCAGCAAAACAAACTTTTCCTTTTCCTTTTCCTTTTCCTTTTCCTTTTCCTTTTCCTTTTCCTTTTCCTTTTCCTTTTCCTTTTCCTTTTCCTTTTCCTGCCCCATCCCTGGAAGTGTTCAAGGCCAGGCTGCATGGCGTTCTGAGTAACCTGCCCTAGTGGGAGGTGTCCCGCCCTGCCCACGGCCGGGGGTCGGAACGAGGTGATCTTTAAGGTCCCTTCAAAGCCAAACCATTCAGTGATTCTATGATTGAAACATCTTCCCAGTTTGTTAAACGTCTCCCCAGGAGCCATAGGACACGAAGGAGAAGGGATACCTGACTCAAAAGATCATTAAGCACAGATGCGCAGGGTACCCTGCTGCTACCTTTCTACAGAGGCAATTAATGCAGGTAGTAGTATGCAATTAGTCTAAGGCAGGCTATTGAAATGTAACAACAAGGATGAAAAAAATCCCTTTGCTAATAAGATTGCTGAATAAGATTCAGTGTGAAACCTTACTGTTGCCTTTTCTTAGAAGAGCTAAAGATTTATCCCAGGAAGATGGCAAGAGATACATCCATTTTCATTGTTTCCCCCTGCCCAGCCAATTAAAGTGTAACTGGCCTCATTTGCAATGGTAAGGAGAAGAGAGGCCTCTTTACACCTTCCTCATCTTCTATTAATAATTTGCTGAATTATTTACGTGCTCTGAGTTAGCAAGCACATTCAGGGGAAGATCATGCCAAGTTTCTGATCAGGGATAGAGATAAGAAACATACCGAGTGGTAAATGTACCAACTACAACATCTCTGTATGGAACAGGCTGAAATCAGGAAAACTTGGCAGCAGGGTGGAGACAATACCAAATACATCAGCAGGGCAAAAATCTGCTTCCTTGAGATTCTCTCTTCTTGGACACATATTCACAGTGAGTTATCTACATTCATTGTTTTTTGGTTTTTTTTTTTTCCTTTTTTGCATATTACTTTTCATCAAGGAATTCAAACTACTCATCAATTAACTACTGTTCATTTGATAACTGTAAAAAACAGAGGAAGGGCAGGTTACAGAATCTTCCACATCTTAATCTTTGAGACCAGGAAAATAAACCTTCTTTTTTAATCCCTATTTCAAAATGTGAAGCTGCAATGATAATTGTGACATGCATACTTCCTTATTCTTTACACCTTTACATCAATAAAAAGTGACTTACAACATCAATCTTTACCCACACAGAGCTTCTTGTAAGTCTCCCACCTCTGAAATAATTTTTTGGGATGGTGGTTCTGCAACAAAATATTAAAAGACTTCTTTTTTCACTCAAAAAATCTGTCACAAACAAGTTATGGAACAGGTATTGTGACTCTTACATCGGTGGATTGTTCCCAGCCTGCCAGGACTCGGGTCTCTGCTCTGATTCAGACCTGACTCTTGAGGAAACTGAGCTTGTGAGAGGGACATGTGGGAATGTCTGGAGCTCTGCCTTTCTTTCCGTGCAGGACTCTGCAGCCTGAGGTAGGACCGAGATGGGGATGACTCAAGGACTCAACTTGGAAGCATTATGGAAAAATATCAACATGGAAAGGCTGATCCCTGAACCCAGTGACAATAAGGAAACAGAACTTCACCTGACTCTAAGTCCTCTGCATGAGATAGTGGAATTAACTGGCTCCTAACTTTGCTTTTTATTAACTACAATTTTCAGAAAGTTGTGGAACAATTCATCCAAAAATATCGGGAAGAATGGACATCAGGGAGCGCTGTTTCACCACCAGGATGTGAACCGAGACAATGCAGCGTTTGTCCAGCGTAGTACACGGGGTTTCATGCTGTACCTCTTTCCTAACCCTTCCTGTAGGTGGTCATTAAATCAATTTAACCACTCTTCATCTCTGTATGTAATCACAGTTTAAATTACATTTTTAATATATATAAATTTAATATATACAACGTATATATAATTTTATATTATATAAAAACTGTATATAATATATAAATATTATTATATATTAAATATAAATATTATATACTTATAAATAATGTCAATATAAATGTATGTGTATATTGTATTGTTTTTCATAAGATGGATATTAATAAAATTACTAAGACCTGGGCTTGAAAGACCTGGGATTCATACAAAATCTTATTTCTGGGGGAAAAAGAAAAAAGTCCTTACATACACTGGAACTCCATTACATGAGATATATAGTTATATAGCTATCCAGAATTTGGTCCAAAAGGGCAGCTGCAGAGCATTTTAATTCCTTTAAATGAGAAAAGGACAAAATTTTTCAGTGAATGAATTGTTTACAGATGGATTAGGAAGCATCACTGAGGAAAAACACAGGGATAGTATGTTTCTAAATTACATTTAGGATATATTTACATACCTTTTTTTCAAATTTCGATATTTTCGAGATGCCTCTGGCCTGTTATATCCTTTCTAGTGAACTTTTTTTTTTTGACTAAGAAAGATAAAGTACCACAGGTAAAACACCTGGTATTTCTTTTCAAACAAAGTAATGAAGAACTATTATTGATTCTTGTAAATACAAATCATTGTCCCAAATAAAATATGTATTTTTCAGTTAGAGACTTTTCCTAATTCCTGCAGAGTGTGAAATAGGAAAAAAAAACTCTCTTCCCTGCAGAGATGACTGCTGATCCTGCTGGGGGAACCTGGCCTCTCAGTCAAATACATTCTAAAGAAAATGCTCATGGATTGAGAGCTCCATTCCTAAAGACCCATTGTGAAACAGAAAAACACATCTAAAAAGCAAACTTTGGACATGAGGTTAATTCTTTCAGAGTAAAGGGTGTAGCAAGTCACAGGATTAAAGTAGAGGAATAGATGAACCATTTGAACCCACATGTGTCACCAGAAACCTGTTTTATATGTGGGAAGAGAGAATAAGGATTTAGATGAGTTGTGAGAAGCAAAATATTAGGGCATCAAGGTGCCTGGACTAGGACTAAGCATAACAAACTGAACAGTTTACCAGTTTGCTACTGGAGTAGTAAGCAAGGATACTGGAAAGGTGCCTTGCAGTTAAATCCTTGCTTTTGACAAACATTGCAGTAGGATTAAAATTAAAAATGTTCAGTGCCACTTAATTGTACGTCACTGATGGATGAATGGGCAGGAAAATTGTTTCCAGCTTTGTTTACTTGAAAATAACATTTGAGCATACATTTGAGCGTTTTCTAATATTTAAGTCCCAAAACAGATGTAGTTATTCTCAGGTACTGAGAAATTCAGGAACTCTAAGGAAAAAATTATGTGGAAATTATGCAGTGAACAAGAAATGTAGTGACTAGGCTAATAGAGCAAGTGGTAAAGGAAAGTGGAGGCTGCCAGCAAACACAGTGCATGTTTAAACATGCTGCTCTTGCATGCTTTAAAATAGCCAAGCACTCTGCAGCAACAAATCTCCAGGGACATAAGTTTGAACTTGTTAATTCCTACTGTAAATAGACTGATACATCCTGCATGAACTTAACTAAGTCAAAGCAGACAGGGGAAGATTTATTTTTAAGGATTGGCACCTGTATGCTGGTTGTAAATGAAACAAAGTAGTCTTATCTGAAGAGTTCCCATTTCTCTGTAAAGCTAAATAGATAAAATAGACTACATTAGGCCTTCACCATCATATCACAAAAGATGAATGATCTCTCAACATCAGTAAGTCAAAACTAGCCATGCACATTTTGCATTAAAGGGAAAGGAGATGACCTGCAGTGTTTTCCTTCAAATGTTTTCTGAACCTTCTGACATCATCCACCATATTTTAAGTCTTTTTTAGCCACTGAAGATTGTATTTTGGATTTGCAAGTATTTAATAACCATGGCTATATTTGTTACCCAGCTGTGCCCATGCCATTTCTTCATGCTGAATTGTGCAAAGAGCCGTAATAAGCAGGACTCCTCTCTACCTCCATGGCCCTGGAGCCATCTGTTCCGGATGCCAAGGGCTGCAGCTTGCTGAGAGACAGGT